ATTTGTCTGCATATGACTCTTAGTTTTTTAGTCATATATAGAAACAAAATCAGTAATTCCCAATTTCTTTTGAATTGGCATTTGTCAAACTGTATCCTTGAAAAATTCTAAGAAAAAATGTATTATTACTAAATATCTTTCGATGTTTTCACTTCAGAAGGACTTTCAGTCCATTTGGCTCCAATTTCTGGTCTAGTTCTGTTTGTATTTGTCTCTTGCATTAATAGGAAATGGAGATATTTTGTAGCAATTCAGATTTGAACTCTTTAAGTTCTTATCTGTTTATCTGTACAGCAGACAATTGTCATCTCTAAAAAAATCAAAATATTCTGTTATAGAGTATATTTAACAAAGCATTGGTTTTATTTTTCTCCAGATAATTTGGTAAAAACTTCTTTATGTTTAATGTGTTACTCTTAAAACAAAGTGTTGCTGTTTTTGTTGTTACAGTTGTGATAAATAGCCAGTTAATTGTTATTTTATGAACCTCATCAATGTCAGAAAAATAATTTTTAGGTAAAAATATACTCTTCCTTTTATAGGCAGGATATGATTTGTTAGGCATAAAAAATAAGTATATCCATTCCAGGAGAATTTAGGAAATCCATACAAAAGTCTAAATTTGGCTGAAAATAAACACAATGAAACAAGCAGTAATATTCTTTTTGATTATTTGAGAGTGCTTAAGTCTCAAATCTTCACCAAAAAAATGCTATTTTTAGTTAAAGTATTCCACGTTCCTTCCTTGTGAAGGTAGAATTTATCAAACTTTACCCACCATTTACGAAATGACAGCTTTTCTAACTTGCTCGTTTAACTTTTTAGTGATTTAGTATACATAATTATATTGCTACTGTGACTAAGCATAAAATTAAATGAGATGTTATCTCTCAGTGTGTTCTATTTCAGTATTTGTAACAATAAATCCATGTTTGAGAATCAAAATCAATTTCACCTATTTCAGAGATTTAGTTTCTCCTGTGGGTAATTTTTCAAGTACTTTAAAACTTTCATTTTATTTGCCAATTTACTGAAGGTTAAATGATTTGAGACGTGTGGGGTGTTGCTAGCTAGTTCTACTGGAAATTATCCACTACCTAAGATGATATTTTATTTGCACCTCAGGTCATTTATTAATACATAGAAGTAGGTGGACTCAAACCAACCAAGACAGATATGTATATAGGTATAAGAACAATCCACTAGCTTTGTAATTTGAGAGATTGCAGTTTGAGGAGATGGCATATGCACATAAATACCTCTTCTGATACTATTCTGTCTCCCTTAAGATTAGATGTCTGATTTGCTCATAAGTAGAACCATGTTTAATAAGACCTCTTAAAACACAGACATAACAGTGAGGGCAGCAGAATAAAATATTGGTTCCCACTGGTGTTTTAGTATGGGTTAGTGGCTCAGATTAGCCACCTGTCAATTGATGCACTTTTTTGGAAAGGGGTGGAGGAAATGGGGAGAGCATCTGTACAGGCCAAAGTTCAGGCATCAGAGTCTAGGGGCCTGGGAAGTCAAGGAAATAGCCTGAAGACAGGAGCCACTAATGATGTGTTAGCTCAAGCAGGACTTGACACCAAGAGTGAACTTCCTCCGTTTCATATTTTGAATCCAGCTGTTAAAATCTTGGGACTTGCCCAGACCTAGGATAAAATAAGCGTTCATTGAGTTTGTACATAACCAGAAACATTGTATCTATGATTAGGGAAGAATGTTGCAAAAAAACCTGCTTTCGGTGCCATTTATTCTTGCACCGGCCTAAGCAGTAATTCTTCTGCCTTCCTTGAACAAATACTTGGTTGGGAAATATGTTAACGAACAACTATTTCAAATGATGCTTTTAATCTAATCAATTATGGCAAACCAAAATGGACAAGTTGATACAAAAATCAAGAGAAGTTTCGGACAAGAGAAAATTTAAAATGGAATGACTGCAATCAATAATCAACTGGTTTTATTGACTCCTGCTTAAAATTTTATGTGAAATTTATGTAAAATTATATGTGAAATATACATTTATGTCTAAAATATATATATACATATACATATATATTACACACACAGATACACTTTCCAAAATATAAGAGCAAATCTATTTTTTCCTACTTAACTATTTTCTAATGAAATCGAGTAACTATTTCAGGATCATGCGTATTTTGAGAAGGGCATATTCATTGTATTAGTTTCTATGATTCTATGCCATTCTGGATTTCATTATATATAAAAACTCCAATTTATGCTTAAAATGTTGATTGTGAAAAGTGTCAGAAACCTAGCAGTTACTGACTCAAAAATCATTAGGCAAGTACAGGGGGCTACAAAAAAAAAGAGGAAATGGTTCCCTACTGATGCACAGAGTCACTGAACTGATTTCCTAGGATGTGCAGTTAGATTTTTCTGGGAGATGCTACATAAACATAAGAACATATCCCAGCTCTGATATTTAGTAGTTTTGTGATTTCTTGGTAAACCCCATAAATTCTAAATTCCCATCACCGCATGAGCAAGTTGGGTACCAATCTACCAAGGTTTGTAATGAGCATTAAACATTATAATCCAATAAGGCACCTAAGACAAAGGCTAGTTTAAGCAAGGGTCTCACTGCACATTAACATTGAACCTGAACTGGACTTCTATGCTTCATCAGTTTTTCACCCCATCTTTTTAAAGAGGTAATATATAGGGGCAAAAAAACCCAAAAAACAAAAACAGAGAAACAAAATAAAACTACAAACTGTCCAACATTGCATTTTTTGGTAGGAAGCTAAAAGCATTTTAGATCACTGGAAAAGGCAATTGTGTTTTAGTTAGGGATGGATCCTTAAGAAAATAGGACTTGAATTATAGTTTCAAAAGTGGAAAGATTTAATTGTGAAGTTGTGGATTAACCATAAAGGCATGAACTGAATTTTAATTTTTTTTTCATTCTGTTGTTAGATCAGAAGTTCTTAATATTTCTGGGATCCCAGATGAAAGTATGGATAGTCTAGGGGGTGGGGAGTAGGGAAGAGGAGAATCATGATACCCTAGCAAAATTTTACAAACAGTTTAGCAGTTTCATTCTCCCTAGGCTTCACCCATGGAATCCTTGTGACCCTAAACACTAAATTCAAAACTAATAAAAACTTTAGTTGCCAAATATATTTCAGGTTCCACTACCTTGCACAACACAAGGTATCTGTTAGTTGCTCAATGAATATTATGGATTGAATGGAATATTTATACTGATATTATGCATTTATCATCTCTGTCCCATTGGAAAGTTGTCTTTGCAGCTAGTCCACTGTCAACATTACCCATCTTCATAGACTAATGCAATTCATTGCACAAAGGGCCTTCATAAATACTCCCCACCTTGGTGTTATTTTGCTTGGCACCATCATGAGAAATCCCATGAGGTCATTTTTCTTGAATTACAGTCAAAAGAAACAAAATCAAAACCAGCCTTTAAATATATTATATTTGATTTCTGAGGCAACTCCATAATGTTAATATTATTCTTGACTTCTGCTTCAATATAACTGCCGATTTTATTTTTGATATATATTTTTTTATATTGTGCATATTATAGGCTGAAAGGAATGCATGTATTTGAAGAAAACTGCAGACTGGCTAATGTGAAGCATGACGGTTCTCTAGAAAGAACCATAAGGTTCATATGAAACTGAACAACCCACCTGTAAAATCTAAGTATCAGTGTTTAGGAAGGTGGTGGTGGTGTTGTTCTTGTTTTCATATTCAGGCTTTCATTGCAAAATAACCACAATTCAAGCTATTTTCTTTAAACTGATGGCTGGCCTCAGTTAATGCCCTTGGCTTCTCCCAAGTCCATCACCCCAGAATGTTCCTCAAGGCTCCATCTTATTACTTAAATGTGCTTCTTTGTGTATTTTTGTGGATCTTTCACAAATAGTGATCTTCTTCCTGGGGAGAAGACCTGGTCATATTTTAGTAGTTGGGAGAGGTTTGCACAATTAAAAAAATATATATATGGAGAGATACTTGCACAGCTATCCCGATCACCCCATTTTTGGGGGGGGTGTTACTCTTTTCCGTCATCATACCAGTAACACCTGAAATGGAGATCATAAAAGCAATCTTAGAGTTAAATTTTAGTGCACAGGTAAGAGTAAAGGGAAGGGTTGGCTTAGGAGGGCTCTGAGGCATAAAGATCAGGACTAATGCTTGGATTTTACCTCAAGAGAAGATACGTGTGTTATGGCATTATGGCATTTAGATTATGCATAATAAAAAATTCTACAACCATGAATTCTTATAAATGTTCTTGCTAAGATCATCAGAAATCAAGAGTTTTATGTGGCTAATTTTGGGTGATTTATTGGAAATGTGTGATGTTACTTGAAAGCAAGAAAGTAAACTCAATGAACTCTGATGGCTGCTTATTATGACAGCTATGTCATCGATTTTAAAGAGAATTTTGTAGTACATTTTTTTTATACCTGATAAGATCAACAGACTGAGAAGGTATATCAGCAGTGGTGATTAACCTTTAGTTCACGTTGTGTAAAGTTCGTGACAGGTTAGATCGCATTGCCCCAGAGAGGAATGATTCTTCATAATGTTTTTATTTCTCCTTTTCCAAATGCTTCTTAAACTATATAAACAATGAGATCATTTCATACAGTACATTCTGCATACAGTATGCCCAGATGCCAGAGGAAAGTTTTGGCTCATGCAGTATCTAACTTTCACAGTCCCATCCCAAGAAATGACCCAGATTTGGGAGTATAAAAATTAAAAGCAACAAAACCAAAACTTTTTACTCCCACTCCTGTCTCAAATGTAACGCTTTATAAGTTGTGTTGGCTAAATTCTTATCAGTGAACAACTACTAAATTCAATTTGATTAATTTAACTGTCTAAAATGTTCTTGTTCATTTTCCCCCGCAAAGATATTTTTAACACAGTTGAACAAAAGTATTGATTCAATTTTAACTGTTTTTCCTCTTTGTATTTTATTTCTTCAGATTTTTTTTTCCATCTGCATTGCTTTCTGGGGAGTCAGAAGCATGAAAGAACTTGCCTTCGGCCCTTGGAAATAAGTTTGTATTCAGTTCTTTGGTTTTAGTCAGTTGTCCACAACCACAGTATATTATAATTGCCTCTGGAAATATAATTATATAATGATTATATGAACCATTTCTTTAATTAAGGGTAAATATGCTTATTTACTTATGCTTGCTTTCCATATTTGTTGTTTTCTACTAAAATTAAAGTCCACTGCAGTTCCTTTCCTTTATTGCTAGGGTTAAAAGCAAGTAATTTCAAATACAATGATGTTATATTTACTGGTAGCATCGAAGTCAATGAGTATAAGAAAAGGAAGGGAAAACTTAAAAAGAACGAAGATTTAATTTGCATTTTTTGACAACTTCTGTTTGCTAAAATTGTACTTAGATAAATATTTGTTCTCATAAAAATGTGTTACATTAGTTTTCTGCCTAAGTCTATATTTACCTTTGAAAACCACATAACCTAAGGAGCTACTTTCTGAAAAAGACATCACTGAAATGAAAATGAAGAGAATTTGTCAGAGTATGTGTATTCAACAGTTAGTACCGATGTCTAATATGTTTGATCTGTTTGTTTTGGCAATTTGAAGAGCATGCAGTACACGTATTCCCTGCTTTTCAAAAGTTTGCGTTATGCTTCACTTTATGCATTATGAAAGACCTACAATAGTACCTGTTTTCACTAACTGGAAGAAATTTTCACTTTTACAAAAAAAATCAGATCTTTCATAAACCTATAATTTCAGAAACCTGTAATTCCATGTTACAGGTTTCCCCTGTTATCTGAAATAGAGCCTTCTTATGAAATCTTTCATAAGCCAAAATGGTGTAAAGTGAAAAAGCAATTACCATTCATTTATATGGAAAAATTTTGAGCATTCCCAGACCCCCTAAAAAATCTCTCATAGGTTGTTCTGATACCTTGAGACTCATCTTGCTAATGGGTGAAGAAAAATAAATCAGAATAAAGCACAGACGCTCAAAGTGTGTACACAGTTCAAAGCTCTGGCAGGTTGGTGCTGAGAGGCTGAGGGTATTTCCCCGGGAAGGAGCTTGACGCGGCCGCTCTCACTGCTCGAGGTATGTGTGGCCTCCAGAACTGCTCACTGCGAAACAAATGCTGAATGCTATTTTTACTCTTCACTTTTTTTCACAGAAGCAGAAATTCTCTTCATGTTCTTATTGGTTGGGAAAATGGGTACTAATAGAGGTCTTTCGTAAAACTGAGGTGGCTTAATTAATGCAGAATTTCAAAAACTGGGAGATAACTGTATTTTAAATTGTCATAATAATGTTAATAAACCTTTCTAAATAAATATGTTCTAAGTGTTGTGTGGACATTATTCACTGGGATTGGAAAAATCTGCTGAGTATTTTATTAGGTAAGAACTGACAGGAATAAGCAGAATAAGGTTCAAAATGGCAGAAGGTGTTGAAAACAGTTGGAATTTTTTTCTTCCCTTCTTCCGGTATTTCTTAGATTTAAATGCTATTTTTTTCTTGTTCTTTTTTTTTCCAACAAATAAATTGCAAGGAAATAGAGAGATGAAGAGTAAAAAAAAAAAAAAAAAAAGATTTAAATGCACAATTTAAGTACAACAGTGCACCCTTATCCAGAGTTTCATTTTCTATGGTTTTAGTTACCTGCACTCAAGTATGGTCTGGAAACAGATGATCCTCCTTCTGATGTACTGTCAGAAGGTCAGTAGTAGCCTAACGCTACATCACAATGCCTATGCCGTTTGCCTCTCTTCATCTCTTCGGGTAGGCATTTCTTTCATCTTCTCACATCACAAGAAGGAGAAGGGTAAGTACAGTATAATATGATATTTTGAGAGACCACACTCACATAACTTTTATCACACTATATTGTTATAATTGTTCTACTTTATGTTAGTTATTGTTAATCTCTCACTGTGCCTAATTTATAAATTCAACTTTATCATGGGTTTGTATGTATAAGACAAAGCATACTATATATAGGGCTCGGTACTATTTGTGGTTTCCAGCATCCACTGGGAGTCTTGGGATATATCCCCTGCAGAGAAGGGGGGACTACTGTAATCACAATTATAAACACTGAAACAATGCTGTTCTTCATTGAGCTTTGCCTATATTCATCTCCAGGTTTAAGACACTGATCAGCTGGTCAGTCTCATCTTTAAAATGTGTTATAAATAAATAAATAGGTAGATAGGCAGATAGATGATAGATAGATAGATAGATAGATAGATAGATAGATAGATAGATAGAGTGTTATTTAAACTCTGAACAGAGGAAATATAAAACTGTTAGAAGAATCAGACAGCAGGTGTCTATGCGGACTCATGATACAAAATTAAAGCACATTTGGTTTTCAGACTGGTAAAGTAGAGGAAGATTAAATTTTGCATGATGAAACAATTAACAAATTATATCTCAAGCGTCAGAAGTAGAGACTTGGCTTTGCTTAATTCATCTTTTTAAACTTAATTTAACACAGTTAGAGCAAATACTTAAGCCCATAACAAACATTAAACCCTACTTTGGTTCCTTACCAACAGTTTGTGCTGGACTTTGCATATATAGAATCATGTCAAAGCAGGGAGCCCTCTGCAGGCTTAAAATTGCTAAATTTATAGCATGAAAAATTCTGAATATTCATATTCTACCTCCTAAAGACCAGTCTATAGGTTACATCCTCAAGGAATGGCAAAGAAAAGAGAGGGTTCACAAATCTTTAGGTAAGTTTTTAGTGTGTCAGAATAGTTTGTTGGGTCATATATAAATACATATATATGCTTGAATATATGTGAATTTATAGGAGTGATCTAAAAATGGAAATAATTCAAAAGTTATAAAATACTTCTATGGTAAATTTCAGTTTTCTTAAAGTAAGTGCAAATTCATCCATTCTCTTTTCTCTCTTAGCTACCCTCACCATTATTATAAATGCTTTTCTTTTAGAAATGCAAACATTTTCAAGCTACAAATTTTCCAGATAACTAGTGTTCCCAGGGCCTGTATGTGTTAACTGGGGCACTTTATTCTTCACCTTCAACCTTGCTAATTTTCCAGTCCAGTTTTCTCTTGCTGAGTACTAATACATGATGACAGATCATATAGCTACTATAAATGTTCTGAATTAATCTTGAGTGATGCCATGTAATTTATGCTTATTCTTGACTGAAGCACTCCCTCTCTTTCTCTCAAGGGGAAAAGCACTAAAAATGGGATTCATCAATTACTTGCCACTTCTAATGGAGAGATGCAAACTGACTTGGCAAATAATTATGAAGATTCTCAGATTTGCTAATCTACCGTAAGGAAGGATAGAGAGGGAAGGCACATTTGTTTACTGAGTAGCACTCAATTAGAATTATTTCATTTAGTCTCTAAAATCCTGGGAATTAAGCACTGTTAATACCATCTTACAGAAGAAAAATTCTGAGGCTGACAGAGGTTTAAAAACTTGCTCAGGCCTGTGGCACATAATTGGTGCCCCTACCAAATTTAAAACTCTGAAGTCTGACATCATGTATTTTGATACATGCTGTTTCTCCATTCCATGATATCAGATATCCAAGGCGAATCTTTAGAAGCATAGGCTCAGGACTTTAAGTTCAGTGTAACTCCTATTCAATTTGAAGCTCCAAAGTAAAAAATAAAGATCAGAGGATAAACAGCTTAGTTACAGGATAGATTCAGTGATTAGGTAGATGACTACAGAATTTCTAATCACTTAAGAAAGATAAGGCCATAGGTTTATTTATAGGATTGCCGTATGTCTAAAAGGAGCTCATTCCTATACTTGATTTTGATAGAATTGCCCATTACTTTAGCTCTATTTGGTATATCACTTATTTCCCCTTCATCTTGTTCTTTCTAATTATTTTTGTTAAACTTAATCTAATCACCTCATGGCCATGATATTCAGCAATATGTGGATCTGTAATTATGTATCTGAAGTTGAATTAACCACCGAAGTATATGAACCCTGGTTATACTTAACATTGGCAGCTTGGATTAATGTTTATTAAAGGTTCTCAAATTTTATTTTACTGGTAATATCTCATTCAGTGTGGCATTTGCAATTGAAACCCTGAGTGGAATTCTGTAAGATATGGTACACATTATGGGGTGATGTCATTTAACCAAGACAGCAACGGTAATTAGAAATGAGCTTCCTCTTTTATGCCCCCACCTCTATTTTTTTTTTTCATTTTCATAGCTTCCAGAATCTCAAGGAAGGAAGGAAAGGTAGAAAACACAGAGGCTAGTTTGGTTTTCAGAATCTTAAAACATTTTTGATTTCATGATTGTCAGCAACACTGTGGAAGCAAGCTGGCTCTATCTCAAGCCTGCCTCAGCGAAAGGAAATTAATGATGTTCTTCTTTTTAGAGTATTTTTTCAAATCTCACGGCAGTCTGCATTCCTTTCTTCTCAATAGCATAACATATTAAACACCTTCCTCCCCAAAGACTCAATTAGGAAAAGTTATTAGCAAAAGAAGCAAGCATTGGTGGCTTTCTCTTATCTTCTTTTTGGAATTCTGCAACCCTAACACCTCTGCAGTCAGAATTTCCCAATAATTCCAGACACCTCAGTACCCATCAATAATAAGTTCATCCATTGAGTGTGTTCTCCTTTTGTTTTAGCAGCAAAAAGTCTCAAATTGTCACTTGTAAAGACTTACAGGAAACAGAAAGAAGCAATCTTTGTGCATCAGTATTATCTGTGGATCATTGGAATTCTGATTTAGTAAGATTAAAGTGGTGCCAGAGCATCTGTGCTCTTCAAAGTTCTGCCAAAAATAAGGTACAGAGGCCATAACCATTCTGGAGTGGAAGACAGTTTTCTAGACCCCCCTACCCTGAGTTTCAGAAATGTACAGGAAAGATGTACAATATAAGGGAATATTGTTTCCATGACAAAGATTTTAATTAAAAGAAAGAGGTGGTACTGATTAAGTAAGCATGGATATTTAGATATGCTAAATATCAGTTTAGCATGAGATTATTTTTACATATATTTTTAAAAGCCTAAAAGTTAAAAAAAAAATTAGGTTAGCATCAGAGAGATAGAAAATACAGTCTAGCAGGCAAAGGAGACGTACTCAAAAAATATA